GAAGTATTCGAAAAGAACAAAAAAATTGATTAGGACAATCTGTGTGCTCTTGCCATTGATAGAAACACAACTGTGACTTGGGGTATGACTAGGGTCATGGTAAGGTTAAAAGAAAAGCACCCAGGAATTCTCTCTTGTCATCGGCTTTTTAAACTGACTGTTCTTGGCTGCTGCCGGCAATATGTAAGTTTCCATCAACTACCAAGGGAGGTTTAATAGTATTTACAAGTTGCTCTTAGGATTTTTCCAAGAGGTTGCTACTTTTACAATGGCAGAACACTTACAATGTGAAGTCTGGATTTTAGCACACCAAGTCTTAACATTTGAAGACTTCTTGATAACATAGAACTATAAGCCTATTCATAACTAACAATTATTATGAGCTGTGTGTGAAACTGAGTCTAAATACTCTTCCTCCTAAAGTAACTGTTTTAAGTCTGATACTGATTCCATTAAATTTAAAAGAAGTAATTTATTTTTAGAAAACAAATGTACCAAAAGATCAATTACTATAACAAAGCAAAGGCCATCTAGTCTCTTAAAAGACTACACGAAAGTATGTGGAAATTCATTTAAATAAATATGTCATGCAAAAATGAAAGTTGCTGAAATACATTGCAGTTCCTTCTGTGGCAGAAAGTTAAACTACAAGCAAATAATTAAAACACTTGTTAAGGCTATAAGCAGATTCAAAACAACATTATTGTACACGTAATTCAAATGTCAATACTGCTTAACAATAACTCAATTAAATGATTTTCTTTAATGTGAGAAGGTATAATTATTTTTATAATTTTCATTAAACAGGATCTCTTGTCATAAAATTTCAAGGTTTTGTACTTTCACTCAGACTTATTTACCGACATTTAGCCATAAACTTAGCTGTTACGACATACAAGAGCTAGAATAGAGCTAAACATATTCGCTTTTGTGGGCCAATGAAAAAAACAGTCCTGGAGTAACATCCAAAAGGGAGCAAATTAAATAATTGCTAAAGAGACAAATGTACAAGTATTTAGAAATATTTTATTGTAACAGCTGAGAAATTTTTAAAGTCTGTCAATGCTCTTAATTCTGTATCATCCAGTCTTTGGCAAGATAGATCATGGGGGGAAAATATACATATACATATATATACATATGTATATACATATAACTATATATATGTATATGTATGTATATATTTGGCTTGGGACTAATAAAACCAAGGCATTGAGAAAAGAAAAAGTAACTCATGACAATATGTCAGGCATTAATGCAAACAGTTCACAAACAGTAAGTTCAAGGACCTGTAACTCAACAAGCAACACTATGCATGTTCTTGAATGCAGATTTTGAACAGACCAGATTTCTTTTCGTGTTTTCAGATTTACAGAACACAATTCCAGTGTGCCGTTTTCAGAGGTTCACTGTGAGTCCTCTAAAGGTTTCTTTATCATTTAATATTATAAATAATTATGCTCCTGGGCGGCAGTTCAAAGCTCAGTACAGCACTCGTACAACACCACAGGCAGGTCAGGTGACCTTTCTCCAATTCTCCTCTCTCTGGTGCTGAGGACAGACAAAGTGATATGTCTGTCATACGCCATTACCATTAGAACAGAATCTTGTTCTTTTATTACAACTGAACTCCGCCAGATTTCTCAGCAGGAATGCTAAGTGAAATCAATGTCTTGGATTTCCAGGCTGAGCTTGGAGGTCACAGCCACTCTATCATTTCTCAGCATTATCCTTTCTCTCTCGCGCACACACTCCCCAAGCCTCCAACTGGCATACAGCAGATTGAAAACAGCATGCATCAGAGGACTCATGCTGTACAATTTTACAGTCTTTTGGAGCCCCCTCCTTTCGATTCCCCCCTTCCATTTTTTGCAAATTGCAAATAAGTTTTGTTTGTGTCCTTCTCTAGAGTTCTGAGTCAAAGGCAAAGGCATACCCAGGAAGAAAGGCAGGCAATGCAACTCAGAGAACATGGTAAATTTTTGACAGCTATCAATAAGATCATTATCTTCACATCGTCACCTGGATGTGACTTACAATTCCATTGTTCCAAAGAGCAAATATACTTTCAACTTAAACCATCAATTTGGTTTATGCCAGGTAGGTATGTAGACAACACAAAATCCTTTAGTAAAATAACTCTATTTTATGGTAACACAGATATGAAAATTTGCCAATAAAACACACAGAAAAAACCCACAAGACATTAATAATTATTTGCTTAAAAACATAAATATGATAATAAATGATAGCTATTACACATGAATAAAATAGCTTTGTGAAGTCAAAATGTTTATTATGCTATGTATAAATGTCAATTTCAGGCTACAAGAAAGTAAATCCATGTATTGTAATGGGTCCTCTTTATTTACTATAGGTGGTATTTTTTTGGCCATGTTCTTCATTAAAATGACAACAGTATTACTTATTGGTGTGGCTATTTTTAACCCACTACATTTTACTGCTGAGCCGAAACACAAACACACTGAAGAAATCTTTTCTGACAATAAGAGCAGTTGTGGACAGTATGCTAGAGGGCACTGAGCAAAGAAAGGGCATATTTTTATTAAATCGTTGTTACTTGAAAAGAGGCACTTTATTCTTAAACCTTTGTGTATTTTACAATAATTGTGGATGGAAAGAAGTACAACACCCACTGTTTTCTTAAACTTTATATGATAGAAAATTCATAAAAGCTTACTTTCAAAAAGTAATTGAATTTCAAAGAAGAACTATATTTTTAAATAATGTATAATCATGGCTATAGAAACACAATCTACTTTTTCACTTGTATTAAATAAACCAAGGTATATAAAACCACAGGATGTGGCAGATTTCTGACACTACTGAAAGAATCATTCTCTTTTGCACAAAGTCTATAAGGTTCTATGAATGTATAGAACTATATAGTTCATAAAGCAATTTCTTAATCTTAGCAAAGCAAACCTTCAGTTACGTTAGCATTTTCCATGGTTATCTAAGAAAATATCATTGTAGCAACTGCTCAATAAACATTTGAATGGATAAATGAGTGAATGGACAAATGAGCAGATGCATAAATGGATGAGGCTGACTGACATCAAAAGCTTCATGATGATTTGTATAAGTAATCTGGTGAGAAGGTATCAATGATAAAAAGTGATTGTAGGTGTAAGAAAAAAATCCATCAGCCATTTAAAAGTGAGCTACATATCCTAAAATCATAAAGTGAAATGTCCTGATGTAAAGCCTCATTATGAAACATGATGTGAAATCACATCAATAAATCAAGGGAAAAAACAGAGAATAATAACTCACAGATGTATCTGTGTATGACAATGACTATGCTGCTACAGCGATTTATTTTATCCAAAGTACATTTTTCTTTACAGGTGATACATGAAAACTGCTGGTCCACAGAAACACTAAAATTATCACTACTTTAAAATTAAATGTATTTAATAAATGTTAAAATTATTACCAAGTTTTAAAAACTTACATGCTGTTGTGATTATAAAGAAAAGCAGACCAGGCCTTAGATATACATTAAGCACAGAAGATGCATGGTCCATTAAAAAACTGAAAAAGATCTTAAAAGTGGCATATGTATTGTATGTACACACTACTGTCAATGTAGTGTGTACAATCATTTTCATTAAATATTTCTACATATTGTTGAAAAAGCATGGTCTAAGGTCCTTGTCCAGGTTAAGTTATATTCCCCCAAATATTTGTCTTTTAGTAATATGGAAAAGGACTGGGGAATTCTAGGAAGATGGAGGCTGGAGTGCCCTTTTCCAAATGATTGATTGATCCCTTCTCCTTACTGATTTACTCTCTGGAGTATATAATAACTCTGAACGACATCCTGACAGAGCCACCAGGGTACTAGAGAAAGATTTGTTTAGGATTCTTGGATTTTTTTCTTTTAATGTTTTCTAATCCTTTTCTCTGTGTATTGCAACGATTGTGACTATTCTTACCCTAGTTTGCTTTAGACATGTCAACATGGCACTCATGGGATGGAGAACAGAAGCAATTTTCTACATAATTCAGCAAAAAAAAAAAAAATGTGTATATATATATGTGTGTGTGTGTGTGTATGTATATATATATATATGTGTCAGCTTTCTATTCAACATTTTCTAATAGAATCAAATTTTCTGTGGTTGTTTCCCTGAGTAATCTCAAGGAATCTCGCTTTATGATCACTTCTCTTATTTCTTGCATGGAAAGCTTAATATATTTATACAATATCATTTAAGCAAGATCTTAATACAAATACAATTTTAAAATTAATTTTTCTCTCCTTTTAGGCCAAGAAACATACATTATTTGACTTTTCCCTGATCCTTTTCCATGTGTACTAATGTTTTCTTAGCTTAAAAACCAAAACTACTTCTAAATTGCCTTACTTCTAACACTACTATTATCTTCATTTCCTTACATCATAATCTCATTGGGTGGGTGATTTATCTAAAAGTATATCTACACTGCACCACATTATAACAGTCACTGATATTTTTAAAACACCTTCTGTAGGTCCTAATTCTACTCGCATTTTAAGGTCTATTTCAGTTGTCCCTTCTCTGGCAAACTCCTGCTGGGATCTCTCACTGAAGATCATTTCTGCCTCCCAATATAACTTCCAATGTGCTTTATCTATAACTTTTTATACAATTTATTTTGTTTCATAGAGTATGGCTATTTGGCTATTTTTATACATAGCTACCTAATCAGACTGTAAGCTCCTTGGGTACAAGATACCCATTTGATTATCTTTTTTATCACTCACATTTTCTGCTATAGTTATCCGTACATGCATATTGAATAAATGAATAAATGAATGATTACATGTATGCAGATAAGTTTACATGCACACCTGTTGCCCTTACTTGACTCTTACCTCCTTGTACACCCAGAGTTTAACCTAGCTGCTGGCATATAATAGACATTTAGTAAATACCATTGAATGAAAAATAAAACTAAGTGGCAAGACAGTGGTTTCTTCAAAAGGGTACCTTGCTTTTGGGTGGTGGGCTGTTTGTGCTCTTGTCTGTGTGAATGCTGGTAGGAGATACAGCAGCACCAAGGTTGCCTTGGGGTATGCCTGGCAGCTTCCCTCCTGGAGATACCTGCATTGCAGCTAGCTGGGCAGCATATAACTGCTACAGAAGAAAAAGAGAGAGAGGGGGGAGAAAGAATACTATGAATCATAAGATAAACGTACCTTTCAGAGAGTACATATATTCAGATGTGGTATTTTTCCTACAGGCATTTTGTTTAGTGTACTGGAATATTTAAAGAAAGAAGCTGTCACCTCAGATTTCATTACTTTTTAGGGGAGAAATGGCAGATACCACATATAAGTGATCTCACCTTCAGTATGTCCAGGGACTCAAAGCAAATAAGAGCCATCCATATTTACTTTATTCCAATGTCTATGGAAGGCAAGTATAACATATTATCCAGTTAAGAGCTCTTTATATTCAACTTTGAATTTACACAGTGTGTTACAAAAGGATGCTTCATATACACAGTAATTTTCTACAATCCATATTGGTTCAAGCCCTGTATGCCTCTTTGATTTCTTGAAATGGGCACCTGAAACAATTTTTCTGAGGGTTAGGTGGGTAGAAGTAAAGTCAAGTCACTGAAAGGCAATGGAAAAAAAGCACTTAAAGAATATTATCTGGTCCGTCTGTCTACGTTGATAAAAATTAACTGGATGCTTGCCAGAAGTTTACTTTACTTCATGATATATAAACCCAGACAAATTTCAAATTATCTTGAGGATTAAGGTTTTAAAGAATACTGCCTAAAACACATATTCTTCCACTAAGCCATTACCTATTCTTATCAAATAAGCAATAGAAACTGTCCAATTAATAAAAGAAAAATTTTACTTTGATAATGATAGCCATATGATATATTATCCTAAAACAAGGAAGTTGCTTTAAATTCAAATATTACATCAAATATTTAGATTATTACTCTTTTCATCTTCTTTTTGCACTTTGTTAAAATTTTAAATAACTACATAAGAAAATAATTATTAAATAAATATATCATTTAAATTACTAAATATTTAATTATATATTTAATATTAAATAAATTTTATACACACACACATATCCCAGTTTCTTATTTCTCATTCATCTTGAGATTCCATGGATAGCATTTACAATGCAAGCTAGAATTTCTACAATGAAGCAAGAAAAAAAGCTCTCAAGGAGAAGTACTGTGAAATAGTTATCTTGATTATCTTAATTTTTTTTCTGAAAGAGAAATTCCAAAAGACAAAATTGCTCACAATAAGCCACAGATCCTGATTAGCATTGTCTCTCTCTAAATAAAATAATGAAAACTGAAGACAGCACACATTTACGTGAAAAATACACATACATAAGTCTCCAGACACTATAACCTAAATAAAAATACATTAACATTATCGATAAAAATTATGGCTTATTTTCATGCAAAGTAATGTAAAGTATATTCCAGAGAAAAACTGAAAACCAGAAAAATATTTTTATATTAATAATTATCTCATAAGGGTTTTATGTGTTGGAATAATTACATCTTTTCTTACCCCAGTCAACTGGAAAGAATAAAAATGATTGTCTTCAATTACATAAACATTAAAAGGATAATTCACTTCAAAAATGAAGACTTTAGAATTTACTATTTAAAGAAAAACTACCAGAATTGATCCATTTCTCCCACCTGTGTTAAAAATCTATGGCATTATACCCTGCAATTTAAAAAGCACTTCTTTCTGGCATCATTCTAAACTACTTATAAAGTCTTTAAGAAAACAACCAATTATCCTAGGATATCACTTTACAGATTAAAACTATGCCCAGTAGAATGCATGTACTAATATTGAATTTTAAAAAATGTATGTTTTTTCACAAATTAACTAGCTAACTATATTATAGTTTATGCATTTCATATTGGATTGTATATTGTATTCTTGTCTTTAAAAATGATTTCACTGGGTATTATTACTAGAGGATAGAAATTTCTATTACTGATTTGTTATACACTAAAAATGAGATTATTATATAATTACTAATGACATGGAACATTACAATATCTGTGGGTAAAGAAAATGTGAACAAAACAGTTATTCAAAATTTAATTTTGATTCTTCATATTATTGACAAAATTATTGGTTATTTGTGTTATTTAGATATTTAAATAGCTTAACCAAGTAGTCATTAAATGTGATTCAATATTTAAATATTAGGCACCAGAGACAGTCATAATTTCCAAAGAAATATAAGAACTAATATTAAAAATACAAGCATAAAAACTCTAAAATAGTTTATTGAATTAAAGGATTTAAAGGATGGAGATGACATATATTTGGAAATAAAAGTTATACATATTCTTTCCTCATTGAAATAAATGTACTTTCACCCTTTTAAATATGGAATTAAGGTGTATCTGAGTTAAATTGTCCTAAAAGAAATGCTTTTGAGTTGAAAGGGAAGAAACATTTGTAAAAGAGATAGACCCAGTTAAATAGGCTAATATTTCTATAATAACAGTATGATATCATTTGCCTTGCTGGTATTTCTACAGAATACAGAGACTTAATGCAATTTATGATGAGAGATAAGCCTGCTATTCAGTTCGAGGGTGGCTAACATTAGGGTGCTCTTCTCTACCCCAAATTGCCCATAATCTCTTTCTCATATTTGGCTTCTGTGCAAGAGGACAAATTTTAGAATTACTCTTACCCAACTGTGATCAGGTTTCCACTATTCCCACATCATTGCATTTTCCACCAAGCATATCAAATTTTCCTGGTTTGCCAAGGTATTGAAATAAGGCCAGGAAATATCTATTTCAACACATTTTGTGTCACAGATATATTTTCTTAAAAGTTACATTATAATACAAAAGCAAAAATGAACCCCGTCCTAGAGAATTTAACATACTTTGAGTCTGCACAGATAAGATCAGGAATTTTAATACTCTTGTGTTCTACCTTAGCCATTCACAAATTAATAGGAAATTTCAGTAAAATTAAAGAAGCTGACAATAATTCTTCTATCTGGCTATATATGTAAGAGTGGATAACTTTTTAAAATGCTGCTGTGACTTATTTTAATTCAAAGTTTTAAAAAATTATGCTCCTTTTTCTATCTACTAAAATATGTGTAGCATTGATTTTAAAACAAAGCAGCCAAGAAATGATGAACAGTTTCCTTCTTTTATTAAATGTTCTTGAAGCAAAATCCAGCCTAATAACAGGTGTTTACCCTGAGTGAAGTCGACAGTCACAGAACCCTTGGTTGACCTTGTACAGGGGAAAGGGGCATGAAATCTAGTGACTACTAGAAGGTGACCCGAAGTAAAAAGCATCTGGAGAACTATATAATCCACTTATGTTTCTATGTATGTCTTAAAGAGAAAATCTGGTTAGCATCTTTCTTTACATAATGACAGATAAAACCCAAAGTTAAACATAAGGTATATTATGATGAATGTATTTTTATGATAGTGAAGTTGTCTAAAACATCAGAAACAAACAGATAACACTAAACAGAAAAGGCTGAGCTGAGCCAGGTTTGGTGGCTCACACCTGTAATCTCAGCACTTTGGGAGGCAGAGACAGGAGGACTTCTTGAGCCCAGGAGTTTGAGACCAGCCTGGGCAACATAGTGAGACCTCACCCCCTCCCCCCACCAAAAAAAATAGCAGAGGAGACAGAAAGTGTACAAACATAGTATCTGCCTTAAGTCAAGACTGATAAACAGAAAACAGTGAGACTATAAGTGTACTGTAACTGTATGTCACTGTTGAAGGTGTTAGAGAGAAGAAATGCATCAGTGCATTCAGGTATGTTTTCATAGAAGAGATGGAGTTAAGGTGGACATAGGAAAAGGAGATAATATTTTAGGAAGGGAGTACAATTAAATGAAAGGCATGAGAGCAGGAATGAGCTAGTTGCAGCAAAGGAAATATAGAGGTTGGTGTGGAACAGTGAGTGGTAGAAAGGACAGTGCATACATAGTCATGTTAGAGGAAAATAACATTAGTTTTGTAGGCTACATTCACCTTAGGAAAGCTTTTGAAACATAAGCAAGAGAGTTTTCATTGAAAATGTAGTAAGAGAAAGCCACCGACTGTTTGAGAGCAATAGATATAATGTTTTTAGCTAGAATATCGATAATACAGAAATATCAGCTATGAGGTTATCGACATTTAACAGTGATAATTCTGATCATAAGAACTTGAGTTGCAGTAACAGTTGTGAAATGAAGATGGAAAAAATAATTTCAAGTTCATAGCACACTGGGCACATAAAAATTGCCAATTAACTGGGGAAAAGAAAGGAGAAACAGAGGAAGAGGATGATAATACAATTTATATACAATCTTCATAAGTATGTAAGTATTCTCACCAATCATCTATTCTCATTTGTGTATATTCATCATATTATCCTTTAAAGAAAAACAAAACACATACACTATCTTTTTCTTTTATTTCTTTCTTTCCTTCTTGACAAAGGAATAATTAATTCACACAGAGAGGATTCCCCTGAATGACTAGATGCATTCAATCATGAACTTCCCCTAAAGTGTGGCTCATTAAAACACTTTTAAAATATTATGAAAAGTGTGATGTTCTCCACCACCAACAACATAAGCTTGAATTGTATCTAACTTACTCAAGTCTAATCAGTTTTTCTTGTAATTTATTATTATGTGCACCAAAGCGCTACTGGGCAGTGGGCTGGCAGTTCATTAACAGGCATTCTTTCTGTCTATCTCTAATGGCCCACTATGGGGCCAGAAAAGGTCTGGTAGGATAACAGATATTTTAACTTGTACTAATTAATTGTTGCTATTTGGGGGAAAAAAATAGTATAATTGTATTTGGACGACATAGCTTTTATATTATGGTTAGAATCAATAGTGTTAAATCAACCGTGCTTTTATATGAAGATACCTATTTTATATGAAGATACCTTAAACAAGTACTTTTCAGTGTGAGGAGTAGAAAAATTCTACAAACAGCTTATTTAAATTCTAAGCTAGTCTATTTCATTAATTCCTAGAGGTGATAAATTCTTGCCACTTTTCTGTAATAGCGTACTTTCCCGAAATTGCTAAAAACACAACTTCTCTCAATGACTACTAGTCCACTGTCT